AAAACAACATGTTCCTGTTAAAACTTTCTTCTTAAACATCTGTTTTCTTTGAAACAGTCAAATAATAAAAGGTTCAGCTCGATGAGGAACGATGCGACTTTTGGTTTGTGTTATTTTTATACTTTTCAGAATTTTTACCGTTATTTACACAAATCTCCCCGGTAGAAATACGTTAAATCTCTTCAGTTCATTCAGAACGTTGTCTCTGAAATCTGCTTCAACGAAACTGAAACGTTTTTTGTTTTCGTGTTACTTTTAAAGGCGACACGGTGGAGCAGTTGGTCGAGCTGCCGCCTCTCATGGAGGAGGTCGTAGGTTCAAATCCCGGTCCGGAGGCCTTTCTGGGTGGAGTTTGCATGTTCTCTCCGTGCTGCGTGGGTTTCCTCCGGGTCCAGTTTCCTCCCACAGACCAAAAACATGCACGTTGGACTGATTGGTAACTCTAAATTGTCTCTAGGTGAGAGAGAGAATGGTTGTTTGTCTCGTTTGTCTCTATGTGTCCCTGTGATGGACTGGAGACATGTCCAGGGTGTCCCCGCCCCTCGAACAGTGACTGCTGAACATGGGCACCAGTGACCCCCGTGACCCGGAACAGAAGAAGCGAGTAAAGATAATGGATGGATGGATGGATGGATGGATGGATGGATGGATGGATGGAAACCTGCTCTTTTTGCTCTTTAGTTTGGTTTTCCTATTTTTTAGGTTTTAGCTAGAACTTTGCTAATTTTAGCTTTTAGCTATAGCTACAGTTTTTCTAACTGTTCGGCTTTTTTAAATTATTTTATTGTTTTCAAAATTTTAGCTCCTATCAACAGTTTTCTAATTTTTGTTTCCAGGTACAGCTTTGATTATTTTAGCCTCTTCAGTTTTAGTTCAACTATTAGCTCTTGTTTTGCTGTTCTGATGTTTTGTTTAGCTTTTTTTTAGGATACAGTTCAGTTCATTTTAGCTTTTCGGTGTTTTGCTGACTTTAGCTCCTGGTCTACTTGTTTTAATTTGAACACGTTAGTTATTTCCTTCATCGGATTTTAATAAAATCATCGAGCAGAAAATGTAACGTTGGTTTTTCCTAAAGTGTGTAAAGTTTTAGTGGTTTTACAAAGTCCTGACTCGCGTAGCAGCATGTGGACCCTGGTCTGGTTGGGAACCACTTTTCACCACACATCAACACAAAGTCAGCATTTTTCTGAACTTCATTTTCCTTACACCAAAACAACAACTTGTTTTGTAAGAACGACAGATTAATCTGATCCGTCGGAGCCAACAATAACAGAAACCCAGGCCCAGGTGAGCTTTTAGCAGCAGAAGACGGCAGCGAGAGAAGTTCATCCATAATGGATTCAAGAGGCCGAGAACTTGGGCTCTTAATATTTCATGAACTTCTTGCTGAGATAAGTAGTTTCAGATAACTGCGTACAATCTTTGTTCTCCAGTGGCCGCAGTACTTTCTCCACCACAGACACACGTGTAATGGAAGAAAAGTAATTTAGGACATTTTGGACGGGTGTTTTAAAACGAGATCAGCTGCAACGTAAAAAACATTTTCAGCCGTTTGCAGAATCACCTGATTGTTTTCCTGTTTGTTCATTTTTCTTTGCACTTACTACTTCAGCATACTTTGTGCCGTTTGTGTCAAATGTTCGGCTTATTTGGAGCTGGGGCTTCTCACTTTTGTTTTTTGAAATTTTTCAATATACATTTAACTTTATTTGCAAATACTTTTCCCCAAAGACTGAGATCGCTTCAGTTTCCTCCAAGAAACATCGTTCCGTTTGTTTCTTCAGCAAATTGTTGCTACTTTTAGTGTTTAGCTAGCCCTTTACCTCCTTTAGCTTTCAGCTAACATTTTGATACATTTAACTTTAGATACTATTTTGCAACTTTTAGACTTTTTCTACATTTGGACTTGTTTAGCCTTTTAGCTACCCTTTTGCTGCTTTTAGCTACTGTTCTGTTAAACCTTTGGCTACTTTCAACTTTTAACTAGTGTTATGATTTAAACTTTTAGCTAGTTCTACTTTTAGTCCTTTGAAACGTCCTTTTTGTTTTTCTTATGCTACATTTAGCTCCCCTTGCATTAGCGTGTAGCTATCCAGTTACTTTTAGCCAGCTGTTTGACAAATTAAGTTTTAGCAAGACTTTGCTACGTTTACCTTCTAGCTATGCTTGTGCCACAAATATTTTCTAACGTTTAGCTAGTATCTTGCTTTTTATTTTCAGCTTTAATAAAAATTGCTCTTCACATTCCTGCTGCATTTTTGCAGAAATGTCTCCAGTTTAAATGTGAATTAGACAAAAAAAACATGTCGGCTTAAACAAATCTGCCAGATGTTTCGGAGCGTCGTTGCTCGTGTTCATTTTTCTGTACTGTTAGCAAAATATCTTACAACTTATAATATCACTGAAGGGATTTAAATGAACCTTTCAGAAAGTGATCATTTTGGACTCGTTCCATTTCACCGCAAAATCAGCTACAGCTCAGCCAGCGTTACACACACGCAGCTAAAACTTGGTGGTAGTAGCCGAGAGTTGGTCACAACAAATACTCCGAGTGCTAACAAACCGTGAGACGTTTATATTTGTGTCAAGCAAAGCAAAATGTTCTTAAAGCTTTCAATTTTGTAACCATTTCTCAGATGCATTTATACTTTATGGACATAAATCTGAATTAAAACGACACGAACGTTGAACTTGAGCGACGTCAGGATAAAAACAGCACAACTCTCCTGAGCAAAAACTTTTTTTTTATTTCTCGTTGAAAGGAACTTGGTAGAATATTACAGCAGAACACACGACTGAAACAGCTGCCATTTCACGTAACACAGTACAAGAAGAAGGATGTAGTTCAATCTCATGTGTCGTCTTATATATTTATATATATATTCATATCAATAGAAAAGAAAAAAAAAACTATTGCTCCCGGGTGTTTTTTGTTTTTTCATATGGCGTTTCTCTGCTGTGTTGACGTGGGTAAAGTAAAATACAACGAGAGGTTCACACACCAAAAGGAAGTGGGACAATGAAATGTGACTTTTCCCCAAAAACGTGGTAACGCTGTGGCTTTTTCTTATTATTATTATTATTAGGCTGAGAGGTAAACGTTCTTTTGCCTATTGCAACACAAATAAAAGTTGAGAAAGAAAACAAACACCACCATACAGCAATCAGAATATGCAGGAACAAAAGAACAGAGGCAGCTCTGCGTGGGAGCAGGCATGCAGAAATGATCTTAAAAAGTTGCGACGCCGACGGTTGCGGGATGTTCGTCTCGTACGTTCATGAGAAAAGGTGCGGCCTGAAACAAGGAGACAACCTGAAGCTCTAAAGTGACCAGGAGTGCTGAGTGTTTTGCCGACTTCAGTGAAGTTGCCTCTAGAAATTGCTGTAAGATACTGCGTAATCAATTTATTGTACTCTTTTTAATTTCCTAAGGAATAATTAAAAAAAACATTAGGAAAAAAGCAGGTATGAAATATCGCCCTGGATAGTTGCATCCAAGTTTAGTGTTTTAAAGAAGCCACTTTAGGCGGCGTTATCTAATAAATGTCTCAAATTAAAGACATATTTCAATATACTTCGTTTTAAAAATATTTCTATCTATATTTGATTTTTTTTTTTAGTTAGTAAATCTCTTCCAGTATACATATATATATCTTTTAGATACAACTCCCCATTGTGGGTTTTCCTTTTTCAGAAGCACCTATTTGTATTTTTTTGTTACAATCAGACTGAATATTGCTTCAGTCATAAAATGGTCTGAGTTCAAAATTCAAGGATCCAAATGAAGCACCCTAAAGAAGTCAACAAGGATATCCTTGAGATGATAGCTCGAGCCCGGCAATATTAAGCTTTAACTCGGAAAGTTGTGACCGGAGCGAGAGGCTCGTGCTCGCCGCGTCCCCTTTGACAGGAAGGTCACGCGGGTCAAACGCGGCCCCGTGTCTCAGGAGACGTCATCAGTTGCCACGGACGACGAGGCACGGGTAAAGCCGATATGCCCCAGAATGTAGACGGGATTTTCTTGCCCTGAGACACAACGAGCCACATGCGAGCAGGCCTCACCCGCACCTCGGCTGCTGGAGCAGGAGGCCAGAACCTGAGGGATGCTCAGGAGGGAGAGAGGAGGAGGGAGGGTCGTTTGGACTTATTTGGATTGTGCAGCGAATCCAAATGAGTCATGTGCTTGTAACAGACAACTTTACTGGACCCGGCCGGGCTGGGAGGACGTCCTGCAATGCCAAGGATGCCACCCCACCCTTTACGTAGCCGAGACCGTGCCTCCGGGTCCGTCTGGACAAGCCGTTTGTTACAGGTCACTTTAGACAAAACACAAACAGCCATGGTGAGCGATGCCAGCATTCTTTCTCACACATCCACCCTCTGCAGCTGCTGGTTTGAGTACGTCACATTTCTTATCATCATCATCATCACACAAGGACTACAGGCCAGCTCTGAGTGAGCTCTCGCCATCGGATATCGGACAGGAAGAGCGCAGGTTACCTACGACTGAGCCTGCCAAACTTAAAAAAGGTACTCATTGCAAAAACAACAAAAAACAAAAAAAAAACCTAATTTGCAGACTTATTTATCTTTATCACTGTGTCCTTAAATAAAAACTGTTGATGCTCCGATGTGTCGAGTAAAACGAGCAGATAAAAGTGCTTTGTTTACATTGAGTGCAGACCCGCATTTCAGCATTGCATATCAATAAATGTGGGAAAACTACTTGAGTAAACGCTTAAATTGCACCGTTTAATATAGCTCAGGATAACATTCTTTTTAACTTGGATTTTACAGTTTGCAATGAGCACCTTTAACTTCCTGGGCTACATGTAAGGTTATCAAATGGTAATATATATATATATATAGATAGTTATATAAATATTTGTTTTTATCTGTGGGGACTCTCATACAGAGGCAGTCAGTTACCTAGAACATCCACCTAACTTTAGAACAGGATTCTCTTACATAAACAGTAATTTCTCAGTCAAATATACTTTTTTTTTTTTTTTTTGCTCCGTTGTTTTAGCATTTTATAGTTCGCTTCATGCACAAAATCCTCTCTCCGTTTTCTCGTTAATTCGCAGACTTTGCATCAGCTTAAATCACACAAAAAGCCACCTCTGCCTCGGCATCAATCGTCGTCCACGTCGTCTCCCTCGGACTCCTCTCCGGTCCTGCGCTCGTACATCTTGTCCCGGTGCCGCTCCTGGATCTCCTTCATCTCCTCGGCGTAGCGGCTGAACGCTCCCCCGAACTTGCTCCACGCCTTGAAGGGGATCGTGATAGAGTTTCTGTAGCTGGGCTTCACCTCGCTCACGCGCAGGAACACGCCGTACTTGTTGGAGCCCACGTCGAAGAAGAAGCGCTTGGAGTCCACCATGATCGACGTGCCCTCCGGGAGCTCGCTGTAGCCCCCCGCCCCTCCGCCGGCCAGCTCCTCGTCGTCACCCCCGTAGTCGTCTATCAGCTTGGCCAAGGCGTCGCGGAACTCTATTAAGCCTTGGGCCGGGAGTGCGATGGTCTGGCCGGACTGCAGGCCGGCCCCGGGGATGCCGCCCATCCCGACTCCAAAACCGGGGCCTCGGTTGACGGTCTGCCGGATCCGCAGAAACCGCCCCCGCTGGTTCTCCTTCAGGTCGAGGTAGTATTTTCGGTTCTCGCGCACCAGAAACTCGCTCTTCAAGGCCCGTCTAGGCCCGGTGTCATCGCCGCCGGATGACTGAGCAATCTGCTCGGGATTGCTAGGCCCCAGTTGAGCGTAGTGCTCTATAAAATCCCCCAGGTAGTCGCGGAACTCGGCCGCGACGGACATGGAGAGGGTCAAGCGACTTTTCGAGCCCCCTGCGCCGACTTCGGCGATTTTGATGAACCGGCCTTTGGCGTTCTGCTTCACATCCAGGTAGAAGCGTTTGTTCTGAATGTCCAGCCGCTTGGAGGCCAGCTCCTGGGTCTCCGGTTCCCGCTGGTAGTGCTGGAACCCACCACTTCCTCCACCGCCGCCGCCGCCGCTGCTGCCGCCGCGTTCACTACCACTGTCCCCATCCGCCATCTTCAGCAGCCCGTTTCTCTGCGTATCTTTGACCCCCAACCCCTCCTTCCTCTCCGCTCGCATTAGCAGCGAAGAAAACCGGACGCTGCATACTGCGCTCTCATTGGCTGATTCCTCTGTCAATCATAGTATCAGTTAGTAAGCTTGCGTTTTCATTCGTCTAACCTTATGCCAGTCATTAGAAAGCACCGCCTTCTAGATGACGTTAGAGTAGATTTTTATTTACAATCCATAACCTTATAATTTAACGTATAACCTATTCAGATCTCCTTGGTTGGATTTACGAATAGCATACGAGTTCCTTAAAGACGTCGTTACAAAACCATTTTTATGTCAAGACGCTACAAGTGTGCGTTTTAATCTAAAATTGAAATCTTAATTTCAACTCCATATATGTATTTTGTACATTACGAGGATGAATGTCCGAGGAAGGACACTCCACTGACCAGAGTCCCGCCTACTTGTCGGTTCCGTGCGCAAAGACTGGAACGGTGAACGAGTGGGGGATGGGTGACTACTCAGCACGTCGCGTTCCTATTGGTCGAACGGGAGATTCGAAACAACAACGCTCTCCCTGATTGGTTGGCCGGACTCCCACGAGGGGTCGAATGCAAAAGATTTGCGAAGGGGTTTATTGTTTCTTTGCTTTCGGGAGCTGAAATTGTTTGGTATCTACTCAGTTCTACAATCAAATAACGAGACGGAAAGAAAATGGTTCGTGAGCTTAGATTATTGCTGGAATGTATTTTCCGGGACGTCATGACGGTTTTTCGTTGGGATAAACGTTCGGCTGCAGAAAGTGCTGTTTTGGATTAGAGCTGAAAAATTTCGACTCTGGTCAGAAAGCTTTTGCTAAAAAAGAGCTAGCTGTCAGCTAGCTTAGCGCGTTAGCATGATCAACGTTACCGCGGGACGGCTGGAGTGTTTCAAGCCTGTCAATTAAGGCGGCATTAGGTTTTCATCGCCGTGTGGTTCTTTGGATGTCTTCTTTTTGGCAGAAGCAGAGCGTTTATGAAAGAATTCCGCTTTGATTCACACAAGTGTGCGCCTTGACGCTGTAGCCGACATGAACGGTTGATTAGCATGCGAAAGTCAGTTTAACGGTTGGTCAGATGTTAGGAGTTGACAGCGAATTGGTGTTTAAATGTCGTTTAAAAAAGAAAATGGCCCGTGTTGTGTCGTGAGATCTGCGAATGGAAACTTTGTAATTTGTGAATGAAAACTTGAAGGTGTCCCTGAAGGCGGCGCGTCTGTTTGACGCGGGGTTTTTTTTCTGGCTTGACAGCGTTATGTTGATTTTATTTAATCTGATCGTTTATGTGTTGTTTCCTTCTAATCTGGTCATTTGTTCTTGGGTCAAAGGCATGAAATTTTAAGCAGCTACTGTTACTGCCGCCTTTAGTTTGTTTTGTTTGTTGTTGGCGGGAAAGCGACTGTTTTTACCGGTCATCTGTAACGTTTCAAGAAACCACCTTTATTTTTTAAATACACCACTTTCTAGTCGCTTTGTTCGTATCTTTAATAAATATAAAGCACAACTGCGTTGATTTTCTCCCTTAAAATCGCATCCTTATTCTATAATAATCACACAATCTTAACAATTTGCTTTTGTTCAGATAGTTGTCCATGTTTATAACTTTTTTAATCTAATGTCTATGAAGATATATTAAACTCTTTGTAAATGCATGACTCAAGTCCTTTTAAAAGGTAGTGAGCTAATGTTTTGATCATAAACCCAACCTGGAGGTGGTGAATCACTCTTAAACTTGCCCTTTAACGTTGTTTTCTTTATGTCTTTAATATTCTCATTTTTCAGACGTTTGGTTGAATATATGTTTAAACTACGATGCATGGAGCACCATTTTTCTGTCTGCAGGGTAACAACTGTTCTAGTCAGACGTTTGGTTAAAACTAGTCGTTGAATTGGAGATATTTTTTGTTTGTTTTTTACGAGAACTTCACTCTGTTGTTTCTTGTTGAAAATATTGTGTCTATCTTCATGCAGGCTGGTGGCAAGGCAGGAAAAGACAGCGGGAAAGCCAAGGCAAAGGCAGTGTCGCGCTCCCAGAGGGCTGGGCTGCAGGTACGTCTCATTAAACCTTCATTTGGCAGTTTGTGCCTTTGCTGCAGGTGCTGATGCAACCAGATTCCACGTGGGAGATCCTGTAGCTTCGTTGTGTTAAACTTCCCGCTGTGTTTCCTGGTAGTTCCCGGTGGGTCGTATCCACAGACACTTGAAGACTCGCACAACCAGTCACGGGCGTGTCGGAGCAACAGCAGCTGTTTACAGTGCGGCCATCCTCGAGTACCTCACCGCTGAAGTAAGTCCACACCGCTATATGAAGACGCGTTATTCGTGGCAACTTTTGATGTTTCTGCGTTGTTGTTTTTTTTATCCCCTGACTCTTTAATTTTTTAATCAGGTACTAGAGTTGGCAGGAAATGCGTCTAAAGACTTGAAGGTGAAGCGTATCACTCCCCGTCACTTGCAGCTGGCAATCCGCGGTGATGAAGAGTTGGATTCTCTCATTAAGGCGACAATTGCTGGCGGAGGTTCGTCTACAATTTGCTGTTTGTTTTTCATGCTACATTTCTGCAGAACGTTTTAATCTCACTGATTTACGATGCGTTTTTCCTCAGGTGTCATTCCCCACATCCACAAATCCCTCATCGGGAAGAAGGGCCAGCAGAAAACTGCGTAGACGACACGTCCACCACAAATTTCGGGGCTTGGGCTTTGTTCGGTCTAGGAGTTCACATTTGTTCTTTTCTGTTATTATTGTTATAGCAAACGAAGAGTGATTGTTAGCCTTTGTGTTGTTATATTTTTCCCGTAATTAGAGAAAAGTACAGAAAATCCCTTAACAGCAGAAAACCCTTTTTTATGTCATTGTAGTCCGTTTGACTGAGGAGCTCATTATTACAGAAGTGATGGCAGTGAATTTGTTTGATTGGCTTGGGATTATTATGTGATGTTTTATACTGAAAATTTGTTTAAAAAAAACATTTTTATAGAAAAAAAATCTTGTTTGTGGTTATTTTCCTGAAGTTATATTTACTATAACAAGTTTTTAATGAGAGGGTGGGTTTTTGGACAGTTGATAAAAGCAGCTAAACGTGAGATCATGTGTTTTCCTTTTACTGTAAGACTTTGAACTGCACACGGACAGTGGTGGAAGACAGGTTGGATTATTTTTACAACACAATATCAATGAACACGTACTGTTTTCAACCTGCTACAGTGTTTTGTGTGAATGTTTACAGTGTTTTTTATTTTTCAAATTGTTAAAACTTGAAATTACGTTTTGATAGATGTGATCCTCGGCTGCGGAGACGTTGATCTCGCAGCGTTTTCCTCACTGTGCAACGACTGTCCTGCCTTTTGTGTGACGAGACGTGACCAAGAGGTGCAGCCAAAATTAGGCAGAGATCGGGATCACATACGAACTTTAAGAAAAAAGTAATAATTCCTGCAATATGTAAATGTATTGACAGGCTGAACTGTCCTTACTTCACATTTTTTAACAAGTTGGTGCATTTTTCTAAAAGTTACGTGTTCAGGGTAATGACTGCATATTTTATCTTTTAATAAATACCCTTGACTTGTCCTTGGCTTTGTCTCAGATATATTTATATACATTTTCTATGTGCACCACTATGATTGTTAAACGTTAAATGAACAAAATCCCCTGAGAGCTTTTACAAATTGGATGTTTTTGAAAATTTATGAAACACACACCTACACACATATAGATATATACTTTAAATCTTGTAAACATTTAATGCAATATAATGAAACCTTTGTGTTTAACAGCTGTTATACCACAGGACACCAGCAGGGGGAGCCAAAAGCTTAAACTGATTGAAGTCCTTTGACAAAATATTTCTAAAGCTGTTCAGTTTTGCAAACTAGACTTCTATTAAAAACTAATATTGAACAAGTATGTTGAAGGAATACATATTGCCTGCCAGAAATCAAAAGTTATTTTTAATTTGGAGACCAAATCTGTAAAATTATAAACTTGCAACATGTCAGTATGTGGTTGTAACGACTCAGTGACTACCACATCAAATCACATCTGCAGCAGCTGTTTTTGTGTAGACTAAAGCCATGGCCAACTAGTCGGTTTGCTTTGGCGGCCATCTTGGCTTGATTATCTTCAAAAGAAGTTGTAAAGTCAAGTACAACAATCATTTCCTGGAAGTTTTGTTAAAATGTTTCAGTCGTTCATAAGGAATTTTGCTAACAGACACACAAAGTTGTTTGTAAGTAGGTATTTAAAAAACTTGTGATCTGGTAGCACTCAGATTATGTGTTAGGGATTAGTCTCAGCTACTACCACACCCTAGTTTAGGTCAACATCTGTAAAATATGCTGAGTTATAGACTTTTTTTGTTGTTGTTGTGTCAGTTGGTTGTGGCAGCCATTTTGAATTGGACTGACTCTCGAAGGGAAGATGCACATCCAGGGAATAGTTTGTAAGATTGTTATAGTGGTTCATGAGATGGTCATCAAAGCTCATGCTCAATAATCCAGGTAGAAAATCCAACAAAGTTCAGGCAGGTCATCTTTTTTTTTTCAAGAGGCATTTCATCCTTCATCCAAAGGACTTCATTAGTCCGAGGAGCCACAAACAAAGTCGGTCCCACAAGCAGCACAATAGTTGACCAGCCAGTTTGCTGGTGATAAGATGGTTTCTGGGGCCCGCCCTCTCCCCCGTCGACTCGTCTGATGCAGCCGTAGCCAAACTGGTTCAAAACATCAAAGTTCATGCTCAATAATCCAGGTAGAAAACCCAACAAAGTTCAGTTGTTGTGGCTCCTCGCACTGATGAAGTCCTTTGGATGCAGGATGAACCATCTCAACAAAAAAAAATTTAAAAATAGAAACCGTCCAGATGACCTGACTGAACTTTGTTGTGTTTTCTATGTGGGTTAGCTGCTTGTGGGACTCAGTTTGCTGTGGCTCCTCGGACTGATGAAGTCCTTTGGATGAAGGAAGAAACGTCTCAACAAAAAAAAAAAAGAAACTGTCCAGATAACCTGACTGAACTTTGTTGTATTCATTGAATGGTTTGTCCAGGCAGGATGGAGAAAGGTTTCAGGAGTGGTTTGTGGCAGGAGCAGAAAGAGGAGGAAGAAGAAATTGTTGTCTGGGCAACCGTTGACCTCCTGGTCCACAGCTCTCCACTTCCTGTCCTGCAGAGTGAAAGCTGTTTGACGTGGAGACCATTCGGCACTAAACAGGAGAAATGCTTCACACTGACCGCCGTCCGTCCAGACAAGTGTCCCGTCTCCCGGCCGGTTCATCGGCCCGACTGAGGCCAGTTCAGACATTTGCTGCGACTAAATCATGTGATCCATCCCCGTCAAGGCCAACACGCACCGCAGCTGTTCAGTTCCAGTTGCTCCTTTGGTTTTATTTATGTCGTCTGCTGCGATTCTGCTGAAGGTCAGAGCTGCTGCTGCTTATTCCTGCAGCTCGCCTTTCAAGGGTCCACGCTGCAGCCGTTAAGGAAAGAATTAAATTCAAACTGTTTGTCAAGGTCAAAACTCGGTCGATACCTGGAAAAAGAACAAGCGAAGGACACCTGGCTTCACATCAACTAAAGGTCGAGTTGGCAGGACTGTAGATCTTTTCATTGATCGATTCTAGTAACAAAGTCACAAATAAAACAATAAAGAATGCTGTTAAAAACAAACGTGATTTGTCTGACTGCAGTCCTCGTTTCCACTGAGGGACGGTCCAGATGCCTCGTGCTGTTTTTACACTGTCCTGCTGTCCAGAGGTGCTGCCTGCAGACAAAGTTAGGCTTTTTCTCTTTAATCAAAGTTGTTTGGCCTTGACCCTTGACCTTCCTTAATAAAATCCAAGAAGGTTTTCTCCACATTTTGCTGTTTTTATCTAAAATCCTGAATCGCTCGTTGACAAAATGAACTATTGTTTTGTATTTTCCAGGACTGGATGTTTGGTTAACGTTCACAAACAGAGCAAAACTATTTTTTCTGTTGTTTTCGTTGAATTTTCCTGCATTTCGTTGCCCGCCTGCCTGTCAACCCCCCTGTCAGCTTCTCTTTTACATTTGTCTAAATAACCTGAACGTGACCAGCTCTTGTTCAGGTCTGCACGACGCCGTGTCCTGCAGCAACACAACACGACGAACACACGGCGCTAAAGTTACAGAAACATGTGCAGCCAAGACATTTCAGAATAAAATGCACTGAATAGAAACATAAAACTAATAATGCAAATGTAGTTTTTATTAAAAATCAATTAATACATTTTTAAAGATATTTATGTCGTTTTTCTGTACTGTTGAGTATTGTGATTTAAAAAAGTATGATTTTATTTTATATGGTGTGTTTTTTGGTTTGTTTGTTTCTGTGTTTAAAGTCTTGGTTTGGTTTGCAGCTGAAAAATGTCACTCAGAGATTCTGATTTGTAAAAAAAAAAAAAAAAAAATGTTGCTGCTTTTGTAAAAATCTTTTGTTCTTGTTTTCTTTAAAACTCCAACCGGCACAGAGTCCACAACATACGGACGCTGCACCAATCCATCTGTTAATCTCTTCCCTCACTCGTGAACAAAACCCCGAGACGCGTGAACTCCTCCGCTTGAGGCAGAACCTCACCCTCGACCTGAAGACAGCGATCCACCCTTTCTGGTTGAGGCCCATGGCCTCAGATTTGGAGGAGCTGATTCTCATCGCAGCTGCTTCACACTCGGCTGTGAACCGCTGCAGTGAGAGCTGAAGATCAGGTGACCCCAACAGGACCACATCATCTGCAAAGAGCAGAGATGGAACCCCTCCACCCCCTGACAACGGGCGGCCCTGGTGGAGTCCAACTCTGATTAACTTTTGAAGTCAAACCATTTCAAGATGGCCGCTGCACTCGGCACCTCATAGAAACCTCCATCATGACTGAAACTCAGTCAGTCTAACAGATATTGTGCTAACACTGTGTGTGGTAGCAGCTGAGAGTCAGTCACTCTAAACGTGACGTGGGAGGAGTTTACACACGAGGTTATTCTCAAGGTTAGACCGAAACAGCTTCAACTTTAACGTTTCAACAAAAACTTTGTCATGAAAGGAAAAAAGAGTGATGAACAAGGAATGAAAACCTTTGATTTTTTTTAGATAAGTTAAACGTAACCAGAAGTCTTTGTGTGTTTTTCTCCTTTGTGCTCGTCTGTTCCTCCCTGCTGACTGAAGTGTGACAAAAAGTCTTTATTCTGAGCTGAAAATGATGCAGCGATGATCGACGAGACATCGAGGGAACAACAAGCTCGGAGGGCGACGGAAACACACACGTGTCGTGTTAGAAAGCATTCTCTGCCACCTCTGAAGTTTTGTTTGCTCGTGTCTGACTCAGAAGTTTAATGACTCTGAAACGATGACGGATGCAGCTTCGGACTGTCGGTGGCTGACAGAGAAGAAATGATTCCAACAATAACAGGACTGACCTTTGCAGGAAGTTCACACACATCCTGAGGCACAACTGGTCCTTTCTTTACTGAGACAGACTAAAACACGAGTCACGCTGAGCTAAAGTCCCGTTTTGTCCCTGTTCTCTTGTTGCTGCTGCTCTGCTGTAAAAAGCTGCGCCGTATGTACACGTCGCACCGTCCTATAAGTCGCACCAGTCCAAATATGTCTAATAAAGTGCAAAAATACGTCGATTCGCCGCGTAAGTCTCATCTATTACGCGTCACCGCTGAAAACCTGGAAATGTGGGCCGGTGTGCCAAAAATCTATTGGCTGCCAAATGGCGGCTGTGGGAGCATGCACGGGAGGACTTTAACAAGAATTTAACAAGATTAACACTTTAAAACAATTATTTGTTTGCTCGAACTTATAGCAAAGTTGTGTCTCAGTCTAACTTTTACTTAATAAATGCACTTTAATGGTCAAATCAGCTGCATTTCAAAAGCCGATATGAGGAGAACGTGCAGAGGAACAAATCGCTGTGCGTTTCTTCGAAATTAACAAGATAACCACCTAAAAACAATTGTTTGTTTGCTCGACATTACCGTAAAGGTGTGTCTCAGTTGAACGTTTACTTAATAAATTCACTTTAATGGTCAAATCAGCTGCATTTCGCTGGGGCGGTGCAGCGAAAGCGAAATGAAGCTGATTTGACGCTTGCTCCAAGCAAGCAAAACAAGTGTCAGTCTATGGCAAGCCAATTGTGTCATTAATAGCCACTGTTACCTATTACATGATACAATGGCATGCCATACTTCTCGAGTGCCATCTAGTGGCTGAAAATGGTAGTGTTCAATGTTTTCAGTCAGAATGAATGATAACGGTCATATCTCAGCCACAAATTGGTTTATAAATATGGAAAACATACATAAGTACGTCGCTTCGGCGTGTAAGTCACAGGGCATGTAAATTATGCCAAATACTGTGACTTATAAGCCAAAAAAATTATGCTTGTTTTCTGTGTCTGTCTATTCCTGCAAGAGTTAGGAAAATGATTATGAGCAGAGCAGCACCTTTTAGCCTAAAAGCCGATTCTTTGAGACTTAATTCAGGCTCACGGAGGTTTGAACTCGACACTAAATCACTTTAGTCGGAGGTGACGTGAATAGAGGTAAAACTCTAAAACAAGAGTTTCCCAAATGACATCCTGAGTCTCACATGTTTATCTGAAAGTGAAAGTGGAGCGATAATGTTTTTATCCATGCCTAAATGTGTTCATTTGATCGGAATCATCAAATATCTCAGGAACCAATTAACAGGTTCTGATGGAACCGTTAACAGGTCATCAAGATGGCTGCCACAGACAACTGAGATTTTAAAAACACACACAAAAAGTATATAACGGCTACTTTTACAACCCACATTCCAAGCACTACACATGAACCTTGTCTGTCTGTTAGTAAAATATCTCATAAATCAATTGACGGACGTTAATGAAACTTTCTGAGCGTAATCACTGGATTTAAAGGTGGAGCTGATTAATGTTTGCCCAATTCAAACTACCGGTGATCAACATTAGTCAACACAGAAATGGCTAAACTTTAGTGGATTTGACAGATGTTGAAGTTGGTGTGTAAGAAGCTGAGAGTCGTTGACAACACGTGCACTAATAGATCATGTGAGATCACGTGAGTTATTGGAATACTGGATGAGTTTGCACAAAATGTTTTCAAGGTTGGAACAACTTAGCTAGAACTTGGTCATTCCTCAAAATGGGATGATCTTAGTTGGAAACTGAAACGAAGGAGCGGTGGTGTTTATTCCTTCGTTGTTTCCTTCCAGCTTCAGCTCGGCTCAACGTTAGGAACTCTGGTGGTTCTGCCTCAACATGAGCAGAACGTACCAGGCCATCGTGGAACATCTGATCCTACAAATCTGCACCTCTCGGATCGTGCCGGGGCCTTTTCAGTCCAACAGGAAGCTGAAGCTGCTGCAGCCTCCTCATCTTGGTGTGATTGAACGTGACACCAGAGGTACAGCCCAGATGAGGGTGGACCTCTGCAGGAAACACATGAAAGACGGAGCTGCCACGTCTTCAAAGAGCAGGACTCGTCTGCTTATCTTCACATCTCCCGTCGTCTTCATCCTCCTGTTCTCTCCTGAGAGGGGGACAGGCGGAGGTCAACCTTCAGCTCTTCTTCTCGTTCGCCTCTGAATTATCCTCGTTTTATTACAATAAATCGCTCTGTATCTCCTCAAACCTGTAGATACTTCAGCTCTTCGAGTCACCTAAAACGAGATGTCGATGCTCGTATTCTTTTGTTTGATGGTCAACACGTCATTTTATATATGAATAAGTTCTTCCTGGGCTCAGACAGGAGACTCAACAGAAGGCAGAAAACATTTATTAAAAGAACACTTTTGAAAAAACAAAAACAAACCAGCAGGAACATTGACTGCCCTTTTTTTTTAAAAAAAAAGAAGTGAATCTAATTGTAGGTTTCTTCACTAAGCAAACTGTAAACTAACACATAAACAAAAAATTTAAAAGGAAAGATTACAAACTTTTACTTTGTACAACAGTTTTTTTTTTTTATAAGATGTCTGTTTCTGAGATTAAACACAATGATTGAATTTAATGCAGTTTGGTTGTAGTGCAACAATCAGTGCAACCGTTAGACCTTCTTTATTTCTACATCACCTCAAAGTCTGCGCGTCGTTTATTTCAGCCCGCTCAAGAACTAACCGTAGACATGTGTACTGATAGACCAACGAGCCACGCCTTCGCTCGATGTCAGGAACTGAAGCCACATGAAAAGTGCCGTGCTGGATTTTTGTAACCAGAGTCTGTGCAGTAGCGATTTGGGGCTTTAAGCCCCGCCTACTTCCCTGCACACATGCGTGTCCTTACTTTTAGGCATGAAAAACTAAAAATGGCAAATTTGTCGAAACAATAAATAACTGAACATCCAGCAAGCAGCAAAGTAAGATTAAAACAACATTTGAAAACACATAAACAATGCCCAAAATGTATTTTATTCTAAAGCTGCAAAATGTTGTTTGTTTCCATAGAGGGGGCAGGACTTAAAGAGATAGTCTGGTCATTTTTGATGTGATGTTCTGTCAGACAGTTATCAATTATTAAAACTTTATCAGTAACAACGTATGAGACAAGGACAGAAGTCTTCATCCATGGTAGGCTAACGGCTTGTCAAATGAAAACCCATTGTTTATTGTTTTTCAAGGTTATTAAACTTTTTAAAAAATGACAATATGTTAAACGTTACATCAGTTAATGTTAGACCTCTTCATTTTTGCACGACGTTTGTTTAGTTTGTTGCTGTTTTTCCAGTCAAACAACAATCATGGTACTACATGAATGTACAGGTGCTGGTCATAAAGTTATAATATCATGAAAAAATGGATTTATTTCAGTAATTCCATTCACAAAGTGAAACTTGTATATTATATTCATTCATTACACACAGACTGATATATTGCTAATGTTTATTTCTTTTAATGTTGATGATTATAACTGACAGCGAATGAAAACCACAAATTCGATATCTCAGAAAATTAGAACATTACTTAAGACCAATAAAAAAAGGATTTTTAGAAATGTTGGCCAACTGAAAAGTATGAACATGAAAAGTATGAGCATGTACATCATCAGTACTTAGTTGAGGCTCCTTTTGCCTGGATTACTGCAGCAATGTGGCGTGTCATGGAGTCGATCAGTCTGTGGAACTGCGCAGGTGTTCTGAGAGCCCAGGTTGCTCTGATGTGGCCTTCAGCTCTTCTGAATTGTTGGATCTGGTGTATCACATCTTCCTCTTCACAATACCTCATAGATCTTCTATGGGGTTAAGGTCAGGCAAGTTTGCTGTCCAATTAAGAACAGGGATACCATGGTCCTTAAACCAGGTACTGGTAGCTTTGGCACTGTGTGCATGTGCCAAGTCCTGTTGGAAAATGAAATCTGCATCTCCATAAAGTGCTCTACAACTTCCTGGTAGATGGCTGCGTTGACCTTGGACCTCAGAAAACACAGTGGACCAACACCAGCAGATGACATGGCCCCCCCAAAGCATCACTGATTGTGGAAACTTGACAAGCAACATGGATTCTGTGTCTCCTCTCTTCCTCCAGACTCTGGGACCTTGATTTCCAAAGGAAATGCAAAAGTTACTTTCATTAGAGAACATAACTTTGGACCACTCAGCAGCAGTCCCAGGTGAGATGCTTCTGACACTGTTTCTTGTTCAAGAGTGGCTTGACACAAGGAATGTGACAGCTGAAACCCATGTCTTGCATACGTCTGTGCGTGGTGGTTCTTGAAGCACTGACTCCAGCTGCAGTCCATGCTTTGTGAATCTTCTCCACATTTTGGAATGGGTTTTGTTTCACAATCCTCTCCAGGGTGCTGGTTTCTCTATTGCTTGTACACTTTTTTCTATCACATTGTTTCCTTCCGTTCACCTCTCTATTAATGTGCTTGGACACAGAGCTCTGTGAACAGCCAGCCTCTTTAGCAATGACCTTTTGTGTCTTGCCCTCCTTGTGCAAGATATCAGTGGTCGTCTTTTGGACAACTGTCATGTCAGCAGTCTTCCCCATGATTGTGTAGCCTACAAAATTAGACGGAGACCATTTAAAGGTCTTTGCAAGTGTTTTGAGTTAATTAGCTGATTAGACTGTGGCACCAATATTGAACCTTTTCACAATATTCTAATTTTCTGAGATACTAAATTTGGGGTTTTCATTAGTTGTCAGTAATAAACATCAACATTAAAATAAATAAACATTTGAAATATATCGGTCTGTGTGTAATGAATGAACATAATATACAAGTTTCACTTTTTGAACGGAATTACTGAAAAAATAAACTTTTTCATGATATTCTTATTTTGTGACAGCACCTGTATGTGTGCTACTCTGTTAAAACAGTTCGTATAGTTTGTGTGTCGTTTACTCCAATATTTTTACACATATTTTGATGTGAAATTCTGCAACGTGTAGTTCATGACTTTGGAATGATTACCTTTAATTAGAGCTAATGTGAAGTTCTTTCATATTGATATGTCATTTTTTTTAAGAAGTTTTATTAACTTGAAAAATTATCTTCACAGGAAGTAGTCAGGATAAGGACTTTTGCTGTTTCCTCCATATTCTGTGCCATGATGTCAAGGCTGGTACGGTCCTAAATTGTGAAAACTATTTACCAGAACGTCACTTCAGAAATGACCTGACTGTTCTTCTAAAACTTCTGCTGAAACCAGCTCACAGGGAGGATCCCAAGGTCACGATGAAGGTCTATCAACATACAGTCTACGGTACGAACAGTTCTCGTCTTCACACTCGTGTATGGCACAGTTGTTGTAGCTTCGTCGTGTCTGAGGAGGCACCAGCTCGGTCACAGCGTCTGTTCAGTCCTGCATTTGTGCACCACTTGCTGGCCACGTTTATACCTGAGGAGGTACCGACAGAGAGAAATGTTCAAATGTTTTCACTCGTCTTCCTCATGTCTACCCCTGATTGTGTTGCTACGGAGCTTCCCACTGCTGAATCAGCACCAGGAGAAGGACCTCCCCACCATCTCAAAGAACAGCTTGTTGGGCTTCCTGAAGAACCGGCAGAGCTTCTTGAGGGCCTGCGTGCTGAGAGGAGCGTGCGGCCTGCCTTTGGACTCATCCAGGCACTTGTCGTGTCCAGCAGACAGCAGGCAGTAGAAGCCCTTGGTGGTGTTGAAGTAAAAATTGCTGGGGTTTATCCTGGGCTGCAGGTCCAGAAACCTCTCTGCCTTCCTCAGCTCGGGGAAGGGGTCTTGGATGAGGGCGTCCCCGTCCACCACATGAATCTGTTCCCTGGGGAACACCTCGAGCCAACGGGCCAGGTGCAGGTGATACAGGCTCCTTTGCAGCGCCTTGTACCCACGGTTGATGTGCCCCTTGTGGAGCAGGAGCTCCTCCAGCGGCTGGTAGGGCTTGTGTTGAGTCAGGCGGTTGTGGAGGACCTGGGTGTAGTCGGACACCAGCCGTTCTGCTGGGTCTCGGATGATCAGCAGCAAGCGGACTGCTGGGTTCATGGCCCAGACTCGTGCGGGAACCTGAGGGGCTGCGAAGTATCCGGGGGTTTTCTCCACCGTCAGCTGAGCCGGGAGTGTTAAAGGCATCTGGGCTCGGTACCAGCTCAGACCACGGCGGAAGTGCTCCTCCACGTTGAAGTAGTGCACCTGACGAAGAACACAGAAGACGAAGAGAAACGTTTAGCAGTTTAGCGTGAAAGTTTTGCATCTTTCTGTTAAACTTTTGTAAAATCTGTCCTGTATTATCACCAAAGACAAAAGTCAATAATATTTTTGTTGTCTGTTATGTGGTCATTCGTCTGTTGTGTTAGCAAAACATCTGACGAACCAGTGAACGTCTTCTTTCGGCTTTTCTCTCTTCAGGGGTCGCCACCACGAGTCTTCCTCCTCCATCTCACTCTGTCCTCTGCATCCTCTGTCCTCACTCCCTCCATGTCCTCTCTAACTGCATCCATACATCTCATCTTTGTCTTTTTCCTGGCAGCTGCATTTCTAACATCCTTCAATATAACCACTGTCCCTCCTCTGGACATGTCCAAACCACTGTCCCTCCTCTGGACATGTCCAAACCACTGTCCCTCCTCTGGACATGTCCAAACCATCTCAGTCTAGCCTCCCTAACTTTATCTCCCAGCTGTTCAACCTGTGCTGTACCACTGACGATCTCATTCCTAATCTGATCCTTCCACTTGGTCTCTTGGACACATAAATCATCTACCTTCCTTCTCTGCATCATGTCAGCCAGATCTTTATCTTCACCTGTCATTGTCCTCACATTTAGAGTTGTCTCACTCAGTCCTACATTCTTGACTTTCCTCTTCTTCCTCTGTCTCCTGACACGTTTCCCTCCTCGTGGTCTTCGACAGTAGCACACTTTCCTTTGGCACCCAGTTTGTCAAAAGCACCGGTTTTGGTCGTTGTTAACCCGGGCCTCGACCGATCTGGTATGGTTTCTCTTTTTGATGAACTCGCATTATAGTTTTAGCAAAAGTGTTTTACGTCGGATGCCCTTCCTGACACAACTCTCACCATTTACTTGTGCTTGGGACCAGCACAAAAGATACACTGGCTCAGTGCTCCCTAGCGACTGGTTTCTGATGAACCAGTGAACAGGCGAAAGAAATCATCAGAAAGTAAAGACTGAAAATGCAGCTACCACAGCTGGTCAACGATAGCTGACAATAATGGTCAGTTTTACAGAAACTGGGCTAAAATTAGGTGTGGAAGTAGCTGAGACTCATCCTCAACCAAGACTCTGAAGGCAACCAATGGCTTGATCCAAAACGGCTTTAAGTCCTCCTCAATATAAAATGAGCTAACGTTAAAACTATGGCAGGTAACATTATTTACAGTAAATTATTTTTATACACCTTTACACTCAGTTTTTTAAACTTCGTGTCCTTTTTATCTAAAGTAAATATGTTTTTGTGTCAGAGCCTTTGAAACTCTGCAGTGATGACTTTAAGCTGACCTGAGCAGGAGTTCTCTCGGTGCAGTTTCTCCAGCGAAGCGCCGTCATCAGCGATATCTCAGAACGCAACATCAAACTGACGGAGGTTCAGCTGGTTCTGCTGCTGCCGGTTTGCATTAGGTCAGATCCAGAATGGGCGCCGGCTGAACTCAGCTGCTCTTTGACGCGTTTTTGACCCGAGCATCCGGTCGGAACTCGGTGCAGCACATTTTACATGACTGCAATGGGATCCAACTTTTAAAATGTTTGTTTTTGTAAGAGAAAATAAAAATACAGATTTAACCAAATAAGTTTTTTGTTAAGTTTTGATGAAGCTGAGCAGCTGCACCACAGTCCCAATTATTATCTTAAAAAAGACAAGTGATGTAATGTTTGTGCTTGTGAACGTGAGTGCGAGCGTTTTTCAGTTTTCACCAAAATACCTCATACAACATCAGATGCATCTTAATAAAACTTTCAGAAAGTAATTTTTGGATATGCATCTACAACTAAAACTATTAAAGTCAAACCAATTTCAGATGCACATCGTACAAAACACAAAAATGACGCTCCTTCGGTTTTACAGACGCTGAGCTGATATTTGGTGTGGTAGTCGTTGATAATCTTCCACAACACATTCTCTGAGCGCTACACATTTTGTCACGTTCTTGTCCAAAACTTTGGCTTTCATTTTTGGCGTCAAATCTATCTGTCTGTTAGCAAAATATCTCAGAAACCACTGTACAAATTTGACTTGGAACCTTTTAGAAATTATTCTTTGGACGTAAATCTACATCTGATTGTGTGAATGTTTTCACACTGTGACCCATTTTTCAGCATCTTCCCCATTCCACAATTTTTGTGCCATTTCATCAAATCATAAATCAAAACATTCGGCTCTTTCAGGACAATCCTGCTATGACTTTTGGTATTGGTGCAACTTTAGCTTTTTGAAATATTTAGCCGTTTCTGCCATTTTTTTCTCATAGAAAATGAACTGAACTCATTTTCCATCCTTCAGATCTTTAGGTCTGTTTACAACCTTTTACTGCTCCTTTCACATTTTGTTCTGCTTCAGCTTCTTTCAGCTTCCTTTTGCAAATTTAAACTTTTTTCAGCTACTTTCAGCTAGTTCCAGCTGTTTTTTTCAGCTGTTTTGTACTCCCTTCAGCTTCTTTCTGCTAACTACAGCATTTTTGTGCTTCTTCTAACTTCTTCCAGCTTATTTCTTCAAGTTTCAACTTTTTTTTGCTATTTCAGCTGCTATTTAGCCGTTTTAAGCTAATTTGAGCTTTTTTTTTTTAGCAAATTACCCATTTTTTGCACTCATTTAAACTTTTTTCAGCTTAATTCAGCAAAAATGTTCTCTCCATCTCGTTCTAGTAATTTAAGCTTCTTTCTGTTTTTTAGCTACTTTTCAAAGTTTTTTTGCTGATTTCAGATTTTTCAAGTTAATTTCCACTTTTTTTTGTTGCTCATTTCTGCTCCTTTCAGCCTAATTAGGCAAAATTGTGCTCTCTCCACTTCCGTCTGCTAATTTAAGCTTGTTCTAACTTTTCAGCTAACTTTTTGGCTTTTTTTTTTTTTTTTAGCTAATTATGGCTGTTTGCAGACAAATTCGTTTTTATGGTAATTTCTGCGACCTCTGCCTAATTAACTTTGTTCTACAAATTTCAGCTTGTTATTATCCTTTCAGCTTATTTCTGCTAGTTTAAACTTTTTCTTATATTTTGGCTATTGTTTAGCTGTTTTGTGCTAATTTGAGCTTTTTCAGCTAATTTCACTTTTTTTTGTTCATTTTATCTCCTTTCAGTTCCTTCTGGTATTTAAAGCTTCTTTCTTCCTTTTCGGCTACTTTTCAGCTATTTTAGCTAATTTCAACTTTTTAGCTAATTTCCTAATTTTTGGGCTATTTTCTGCTTATTTAAACCTAATTCAGCAAATATGTGTTCTTTGCTTTGTTCTGCTAGTTTAGGCTTGTTTTTCCTTTTCAGCTAGATTTCAGCATGTGTTTTGCTAATTTCAGCTGTTTTCAGCAAGTTCTTCAGCAATAAGCATTGACACTGCATTTCACAGGAAATGCAATTTCTCTATAAGATTTGACGTCAACCCAATTAAAGATGGTTTCTACAGCTAATTGATATTAGCCAACACAAAATGTCTATAACTCATTGAAATGTACAGATACCGAGCTAACCTTCGGTGTGGTAGTAGCTGAAGGTCTACGTAAAATGTTACGTTCAAGATTTGCCAAAATAATTTCTCCACATGAAACGTACAGTCTAAAACTCAGGCAGGAAAGTTGGCAGGCGATGCATTTCTTCAAGCGATGCTAAGATTTTAATGTCTTTATGTTTTCAGACCTGAAGTTTGTCACTGGAAAATAATTGTCTTGCAGCTGAGGTGCTAATTAAGTTTCTAAAAGTGTCAATGAAATATTTTTGAAGCTCTTTTGTACAAGGTTGATTTTGAAACCTGTAAGACTCCTCCCTTGTCTGTCCAAAACCTGTTAAAAAATCTCACATTTGTTGCTAATTTTAGCTCGTTTTGTAGCTCGACTCTTTCGTTCTCTTACTGCGATGAGAGTGTGAAGCACTCTGGTACCTGTCAGCTGACAGCTGAAGTACAAGTGAGTTTTTCTTTTCTCATCGGTCTCAAGGGGCAACAACGAGTCTTCTTCACGCTGCAAACCACCAGAAAAGACTAAATGTGCTGCTGTACTATCACATACGTCTGTCGGGTTTTAGATCTGCCCCATTTAAGGCAAAGTTGTTACATAAAATTATATTAAATTCAACCAAACAATTTATTTGGCTTTTTCTAAGTACTAAGGTTGCATTTCTGTTAGTTTAGAGAGGAAATGTCATGTTTTTTGAGGATCTATGAATGGGTGAGTTTTAGTTTTAATTGTGAAATCCCCAATAATCACCAGTTGCCTGATTTCTGTCCAGGTCAGCTAAATTATTCTGGAAATAACGACCAGTTTATTATTAATTTATTTATTAACATCACGAACTGCTGGTCTAAAACAGGATCAGAGACATTTGCTCGTAAAGTAACTTCAGCACAAACATTAAATAAGTTTCTTACACTTCGGGCTAACGATTTAAAAACCTCTTTGTAAACAAAAGCAAAACAAACAAACATATGCACGGTGCACAAGTTGTGAGTCGAGCCTCATTTCTTTGTGTTTTACTTCTAATCAGCCAGACTTTTTGTTTCATTGTCCAAACTTTTCTTTCAAAGCTTCTGATTGGACTTTTGCTGCTTCCCCCCCCCCCCCCCCTCTTTTGTTGTCAAAAATACAATTTATTCCCAAGTATCCATCCATCCATCCATCCATTTTCTTCCGCTTATCCAGGGTCGGGTCGCGGGGGTAGCAGCCTAAGTAGGGAGGCCCAGACTTCCCTCTCCCCAGCCACTTGGTCCAGCTCCTCCGGGGGAATCCCGAGGCGTTCCCAGGCCAGCCGAGAAACATAGTCCCTTCAGCGTGTCCTGGGTCTTCCTCTGGGTCTCCTCCCGGTGGGACGTGTCCGGAACACCTCACCAGGGAGGCGTCCAGAAGGCATCCTAAACAGATGCCCAAGCCACCTCAACTGGCTCCTCTCGACGTGGAGAAGCAGCGGCTCTGCTCTGAGTCCCTCCCGGATGATCGAGCTTCTCACCCTGTCTCTAAGGGAGAGCCCAGAACCCTGCGGAGAAAACTCATTTCGGCCGCTTGTATCCGAGATCTCATTCTTTCGATGCTCATTCCCAAGTATCCCCAAGTATTTACAGGTAAATCTATTAAAATTATCAACAATAACATCCTGATGCACGCTCAATCATCCAGGAATCTGACACGGTTGAGTCAGGTCATCTGGACGAGGACCTGACTCAGTCTAAAGATCTGGAGAACCCACTTAAAAAAAAGTTTGACTGCTTGGAAACAAATAACGAAATCAGGGGTGGTTTAAAACTTTTGCACGGTGTCGTCCCACACTATGATGTGCACCACTGAAAGGAACTTAATGTCACAGAATGACCCGGTCGCCCTGATGACCACCAGGTGACAGAGGACTTTACCTCAGCCTTTGCCACCTCCACATCTGGGTGCAGGTTGAGCATCTCCAGCAGGGCCCTGGTTCCACCTTTCCTCACCCCGATGATAATGGCTCCTGGCAGGCGCTGCTGGGTAGCATTGTTAGATGAGGAGGAGGAGGAGGAGGAGGAGGAGGAGGAGGAGGAGGAGGAGGA